GCAGGGCATCTTCCCTTGGAAGAAAATGGCAAATGCATACTCCAGTCTCATTTTATGTTTGATTTGTGATATGACTCTTCTTATCACAATATACATATCCCATTCAATAGAATTGATGCATTCTTTTTGCTGCCTTTATTTTTTTATTGATTATTGAAACAAAAAGTGCCATAGATTATTTGCATTCCTTTGAATTTTGCAAAGATAAGATTAACATGATGCGTGCCTAAGAAAAGAGTCATCATTGCCTTGGTGCAGGAGTGGTTGGTCTTCAGGCAGCAGTCAGGGAGCTTGAAGTCTGCACGGGCATTATCCTTTTAAATCTATCTCTTCGTATGCTTCATATTAAGAAGCAACCATGGTATGAGGACCTTTAATCAGATCATTTCAGAGTTTGTTGAGGTAATTGGATATAAAATTGTTTTTCTTACATATTCTAGAGTATTAAACTTAGCAATTAGGGTTTAAAATAATTGCACTTTTTGTCCGGAATACTGCACTTGGCAAATTTTTTTATAAATCCGTTGCCACACCAAAGTCAGTGAGGAGTATTCTTTGTCAGGTATTCCTATATGACACCATGGATATATAATATATAGTCACACCATTGTTTGGTAATAATGCTTATAATGTCTAGGGCTACGGATGTAAGAAGCATAGAGAATGTTATGGTTGAATATGGAAATTATGACTGACATGGATCCATATGAGTAGCTATCAACATTATTGTGTAAAAATTCCCCAAAATTCTGAAGCTTAAGAATATGGTTATGCTATGTTGTACTATATTGCATAATTTGTGCACAACTATCACTAGTATTATGCTTGATGTGATAGATCCATTCCTCTGAAGGTGCACAAATGGTGATCTAATTTAGTGAGAGTTTAATTCAGTAATTGGGGCCATAGGCGGACATACTTTGAGACAAGGTACAAGATATGCACACAATGGCTGGCATCTGCGTGAGGCACTGGCCAGCCATTGCATCGTATGGTTTTACTAAGCAAGCTACTAGCTTTGTAAGTGGACATGTTCCACTGGCATAGATAGATTATGCTTTTGAGAGATGTTAAATTCAAGTGTTATTTAACGTGTATCCTAGCTCAGAAATAGAGGGATGAATCTGGAAGTTACCCTCTCATGCTCTTAGTATCTTTGACGGTACTTTGATCTCCACTTGATTTGCAAACATGCTGGTTGGTTGTGCTATCTATCTGTCACCACAATGACCTGTCTCAGCAAGCTCTACCTAACCTTGTTAAACTTCTTCACTTTGTTCTTGCCATCAAACAATTTATGTATCTTTCACTTACGTTGGAATGTAGAAGGATTAGTACTTACTACGTAATAGTGGATTTGGTGAAGTAGTTTATTTTTTTGGTGATAGTTGAGAATCGAAAATTTGGGAAGTAGAAGGTTGTTTAGAATGATAGTGGGGTGTAATAGAATAGAGAGCAATTGAAGACTTTGGATGAAAGAAGGAATATTCTTTCATTAATAGTTAGTACACTTCTCTCCAATTACAAAGCTAGCACCTTATTATAATCTATGAAGCATGGGTACTTCAACAAAATGTCGCACTAGTACTGGATACTTACCTAGTGCTGGTACTTTGTATGGTACTTCTGCATACGTATCTAGGTGCACGGAATATGTACCAATCTTTTTCTTCTTAATTTTTATTGTACCTTAGAAGTATTTGATATATACCTAAGTTGTACCTCTACTAGAATAATGTTTTGTTCAATGTAGAGGTGAAGTTAGTTTCATTGGACATTTTCTTTGGGCTTAGCATGATTTTGAAATCAAGTTTTGGTTTATAAGTAATTTAGTATAATGACATTTCATTTTAGTTTATACTCTTTTTTTTTTAACATTAATTGTGAATTGTAGGTTGGACCTTAAAAATTTAGGTCACCTTTGTTCTGTTACTTTGTGCCTCGTGATGCTACAATTTCATAGCCTATCACTGTAAAGGAACTTTGTTGTAACATAAAAAATTGTCGCGTAATGGATTACTTGATTTACATTATGGCATTGTTTTTCAAATATCATGGTATTGTTTCACATTTCATTTCATTTAATTATATGCCATATCTATAGTTGCAAAGAAGTCTAAAAAAATGTTCTTCTTGTTGCTTTATGATTGGTTTTACCTATATCTTCTTGGTAATACTTATCTACTGCTTCATGATGGACAGGGTTACTTGATGCTCTTTGGTCATTTTGATGTTCAATGGTTTGGCTTTGAAGTCTGGTGGTGACTGGAACTTTTTTCGTCATATTGTGTCAGTGAAGTGGATTATCCTATAGTTTTCAATACTTTTTGTATACATTCCTCTTTGATGTTGCTACTACTATGCCCATTAGTTTATTACCTACTCCTACGGGTTGTGTAGGAGATTATACTATAATTTTTGGTTGGGTGGTTGCAGTAAGTAATGGTGATATGGCTATAGTACTTTTTGTTACTGTAAAACTATTGTTGCCAAAGAAGTTGGATTTACAACTAGTATTTTATCCAGGTGCTGGTGCTATAACAAGAACATTTTGTAAAAAATTATTGTCATGTGTAGAATATATATATGCTAGTGATTTTTGCATTTTTAGCGACACAATCAATTGTCGGTAAAATAAGTCTTGTAAAAAATATAAATGATTTTCAATTATTTTTTCTGATGCAAATTTGTTATTGTCAAAAAGTAAACCTTTCTCGACAAACAACTCATCGGTAAATGTGTTGCTAAAAGTTTACTTTTGCCGACTCATATGGTGTTGCCAAAAGTATATTTTTTGCCAAAAGTAAAGCTTTAGCGACAAACAAATCGGCGGCAAATGGCAACATTTACCGACGTAAATGTGTCGCCAAAAGTTTACTTTTGCCGATGCATATTGTCTTGCTAAAAGTATATTTTTTGCCCATGCAAATTTGTGTCGCGAAAAGTGCCACACAATCATCATATTTGAATGACTTTTACCAACGCAAGGTAAATTGCCAACGATGGATGGAGGTTTTTATCGACGACTATGTTCGTCGCTAAAGGCATTACTTTTACCAACGCAATGATAATTTTGTCGGCAAAAACTTTTGCCGACTCACTTTTGCCTACGGGTTGCCAACGTAGCTTTGTGCGTCGGCAAAACTCTTTGCCAACGAATTTTCCCTTTTAGCAACATATTTTGTTGCGTTGCGAAAAATGCAATTTCTTGTAGTGTAATAAGCTAAAACCCATTAGTAAATTTCTAGATTGTACACTATCCCTCTATTAGTAACCCATAATTTTATTATTATCAAAAAATCCATTTCCAACAAAACTTTTAATTCAAACAGACGTATGTCCGAGAAACTCAACCTATGCGGTAAAGGATCCCATACCAATCTATAAAATGATAGCAAATAAATAAATACTTTCAAAAAAACTAGAAACAAGATTCTTCAAAGAACATGAGCATTTTTTTTTTCCTTGCCTATTAACAAAGAGAATAAAGAGTGGTTTGGTGACATACAAAAGACAAAGCATACAAGTCATGGTTCCCCCGCCACCACCCCCCCCCCCCTCCCACCCACTACCACCTGCCACCACCACTCACCACCCACCTGCCACCACCACCCACCACCCGCCACCACCGCCACCACCACCCACTCGCTACCACCCGCCACCACCACGGTCACCTACTCACCCACCACCCACCGTCACCACTTTCCACCACCGTCTTCCGCCGCCACTTGCCACCACTTGCTATTTCTCACTTTTTTTTTATATTTTTAAATTTTTTTAAACATCTTGTCAATTATCAAACGCGTTTGTAGTTTATGTTTTTCTAAAAATAAACAAAAAATAAACAAAAACTAGTTTATAAAATTTTTGTAAATATAAACTGAAAACGTAAACGTTACCAAACACATAGAATTTCTAATTTTTTTTTTTTAAATGTATATTTTGCAAGAGAATGATTCCCCTCTATACTATTACCTTTCATATGTCTCCATATTTTATTTTGTGAATCCAAGTCCCACAACAATAATGAGAACCACTCATCTCGTAAGTTTAACAAAAAAAAAAAAAGTTATACAAAAAATCAATTTCATCGAACATTACTAGACACATAACAAATTACACTTGCAAACATAAATTATACTTTCAACCATGATTTGAAGTACTTGAATCTAATCCCAGGCAATTAACTTAGTACCTGTGTAATACCTTTTGTGATTTGAAGTCTCGGATTCAATTCTTATGGAGAAGAGTTTAATACCCTTGTATGTGATTAATGGTGGTTGTTAGGTTTGGCGTTTGATAGTTTAGTTGCTAGATTTTGTTGACTATCTAACTATTGTGGGCTAATGGTTTGTTTGATAATATAAATATTTTTTATAATGTAATTATTTTTCTATCTATTGACAAAAAGGTGATAGTTAAGAGTAAGGATGTCTAAAATACCGCTCAATCCACACCGATCCATCCGCTAACTGCGGATTAAACTTCAAAATATAGAATTGTGCATAATACCACCCAATCCACTGCATTGATCTATCTGCTAATTGCGAATTAAACTTCAAAATTTATAACCGGTCTTTAAAATCACTCTACTCTGCTATAATTAGTACATGTTTTTTTTCTACCTCTAATAAAATATCAAAATAAAAATGAATGTGAAAGAGATTTAAAATATAAAATTTATTACAAATTAGTAGTTATATATATAAAAAAATATGTAAAATTAATTTGTATTATTATATATACGAAAAATATTGTGCAAATGCTTAATAATTGTTTAAGAATATTTTCCAATCAACTAGCAAATTAAAACTCTCCCAAATCGCAATTTGATTATTCATCAATCCGCCATTCATAGTTTGTATTAAGACAAAAGAACAGAGAAATTTAAAAACAGACAATCCCATCCAGTCTGTTTCGGACCTAGCAACACTCAGATACCACCTCACATCACCATAACCAAACTTCTCATGGCAATGGTCTCAAAACCGCACACAAACTCATCTAAAGGCTGGGTCAAACTCAAACGGACCCCGTGTTCCAATTTCCACAAGAAAATCACAATGTACAGTACCAGAAAACTGTAAACTTCAATTATTTTCACCCTCGCCACATTTTCTTATTTTCAAGAGGGCAGAGCTTCAGAGATGTAGTTAAATTTGAACATGTTCACAACTAGTGGCATGTACCGATAATGATATCGGAATACAAACATTTTTCCTTACAAAATGAATAGGAAATAGGAATCTAATTTAATGTACCATCCCATCTCTCGCCAGTTCTTCTAACCCTTTTCTCAGCCTTGCTGCAGCAACTCGACAATCATCCTCTAACAATCCTCCGAATGAGATCCTAAGGTGCCCCGGACAGCCACAGGCACTTCCTGGGATCACAACCACGCCATGCTTTGTAGCAAGCCAGCGAATTACTTCGTAGTCATCGACGCATTTGTCTGGAAGCTTTGCCCATAGGTATATTGCACCTTCTCCGCCTTTCACAGCATCATCTCCCAACGGAGATAGTGCTTCTAGAACAATTGCTCTGTTTTTGACGAGATCTTTCACTTGTTCAGTGACCCATTCCGGTCCCACTTCTAAGGAATAAAGGGCAAGGCGCTGTGAAATTATTGCAGCACATATTGGTATGTTGTCTTGGATTTTGAGGAGTTGAGCTCCAAAGCCCGCCACTTCTGTAGGGTATGCTATCTGCATTATGAACATAGATGGCTCTTATTAGCAGCACGCACTTTTGTTTTGAATATGGAAGAGGAAACTATCAAGTATGAGCCTAGAAGTATATATTCTTCATTTTAAAGCAAGAGAAATAAGAAGAATGAACAACTGAACATATAAGAAGAGATCAAACACACTACACATTTGACAAAACAGAAAAACAGGCAGAGAGTTCCCATCCTAATCTCTCTTTAGATTTGCAAGATGTATTTGATGAAAGAGGAGATGACATAGAAAATAAAGAAGGGAAATGACAAAGGAAAAGGGTAAGAAAACCTACATCTTATTTGGTGTGAACACTGTCTCATTCTATTTTTTTTCAAGAATGCCCTTCACTTCTATCAATTCAGTAGCTACCACATCCAATAACTAATGAACAGTTTTTTCATTTATCAAATTACCCAAAACTGCTAAATGATTTTCTCATTCATCAAACTGTCCCTCAATCATCAAACTATCCAAAAATTTAAATGTAAAATTGAAAAAGCATCATGTTTGCTAGTATAAATTATATACATGAAATATAGAGTTCTTCCTTGTTCATTCTCTCTCTCATTCATCCTCTTAAGCAATCCTGCCAAGCTGTCCTCCATTCCTACAATTCTGCTACAACACAGGATATTCTGATGAATCACCTCAAGAAAAGGTGTCTTGCCATAATGGTAACTTGCGAGGAAGAGAGAACATATCTGGTAGAAATTTCTGGCTAAAGGTGCAAGGTTTCTCATTTGGACAGTATTGCAAAGCATGGTAAAAACTAATAGATATGAATGTAACACCTGTCATTTAGGTTTCTAGATAGCTTGCAAGAACTTTATTATTTTTTTGGAACGAATAGGGTGATGGAAAAGTATGAAAACCTCTTTTTTTCTTTCAATTTATTGATTTATTTTTTGGCAGAGGAAGAAATCAAAAGCAATTAACAACCATTTTTGAAAACCACTTTTTTTATCATCCCACCCACCAAGTTAAGCAGATAAAACAGATACTATTACTGTAGCATGAGTCATGTAGTGATGACTTCCAAAAGGTAGACATTACTACATTAGTTGTGTAATGTGAGGTTAGAAGTGATAATTACCGATGAAATGCAAGAATGCAAGCCAATTAATGTCGTCTAATCATGATATTTATTAAAAGCAAGCTCCATTTTCAATTCAAAAGGAAGCAATAACATTCATATTTATTTCTAATCAAAACAATTTGATTTCTTTTTGATCAATATAAAAAACATAAGGAACAGTAAGCACTACTCACATATCCAACTCGCCATCCCATCATTCCATAAGCTTTAGAAAATGAAAATATGTTGACTATGTGATTGCCCTCCACACATGAGTGTTTGAGGCCATCATACATAAAGTACCTGCACATGTAATTGTTAATACTCCTACATACCTCTGTATTCTTCCCAGGAACACATGAAAATATAACTAAGTCATATTCTAGAAAACTGAGCAAACAGTAGAATTAATAACAAATAACCTTTAAAGTGCAACAGAATGATAAAAGAGTACCCAACCAACAATCCATTTTTTATCCCCCTTTCCGTAAGTAACAAGTCATTCCTAGTGTTTGAACTTTCATATTTTAAATGCAAAATGCATGATGATTATTAGATATACTCCAGTTGCAAACTTCCAATTTCTTGAATAATTTGTTATGTATATGACATGATGAATTTGTAGCATGACCATGTTAACTATGCTGGATCTTCGACTTATTTTTTGGCCTGAGATCAGTGATGTCAAACCATTGTGTACATAATGACCAAGGGACTACACAAAATGGCAGAGAAGCAGCATCCACAGAGAGAGAGAGAGAGAGAAGAAGAAGAAGAAGAAGAAGAAGAAGAAGAAGACTTTCAAACTCTACTAGAGTAAAAGCCTAAAAGGTTATGCATAGTGACTTGAGATTCAGGAAAATTATTCCTGCACTTATTTCAAACTTTACCAGGGTAAAGTCTACAAGGTTATGCATAATGACATGAGATTCAGGAAAATTATTCCAGATAATCTATTCTAACACCACATCCATATATAGTTGTACAAAAAAATAGTAATTTTGAAACATATCTAAAACTACTAGTATATGTTGTCCCCTTCAAAACAAAAGGATTCTTCTCTCTGCTAACTATTACTGTGTCCCTTTTTTTGCTAAGGTTCTTTCCTCCCACCCCAAAAAAAAATTTCTTGCATGTCCCTTATTCTACAGTCCTCACCTCACGCTGATTTGTTTTTTTTCTTTTCTATTAATAGACACAAAAAAAAAAAAAAAAAAACTTTCTAATCATTTTTACGTTATAATTACAAAATTTATTTTTACAAGCCAACGGTATTACTCCTACATTAAGTCATGCCCTGATGCCACATTGGAAGTTCAAAGCTATGATGAATTATGTTATAATGAAAGCTCAGGGGAATGAATTAGAAACCTGCACCCTTGTACCTATAACACAAACCAATAATAAGCTCCAGCACTATTGTATTTATAATATGAAATAGGCAACAAGCTTTATTATGCACTCGTCCTTGATGAAATAATCGCATTCACAATAGATATATACATTTCATATGTTAAAATTCACCTACTCTCCACCTACTTCACCCACTTAAACCTACTCCACTAAACCTAACCCACTACACCACTACCACCTCACCTACTCCACTAAACCTAACCCACTAAATCCACATACTCTCCACCTACTTCACCCACTTAAACCTACTCCACTAAACCTAACCCACTAAATCCACATACTCTCCACCTACTTCACCCACTTAAACCTACTCCACTAAACCTAACCCACTAAATCCACATACTCTCCACCTACTTCACCCACTTAAACCTACTCCACTAAACCTAACCCACTAAATCCACATACTCTCCACCTACTTCACCCACTTAAACCTACTCCACTAAACCTAACCCACTAAATCCACATACTCTCCACCTACTTCACCCACTTAAACCTACTCCACTAAACCTAACCCACTACACCACTACCACTTCACCTACTCCACTAAACCTAACCCACTACAACACTACCACTTCACCTACTCCACTAAACCTAACCCACTACACCACAATAAAAGAAGTAGGATCTGGCCGAGTACTCTGGACAAGGGTCCACAACTTTCAACTTATCCATCAACCACACCTGGGGAGGGATAAAAAAATAAGAGAGATTAAAGAATAAAGAGATATGCGTTGAGAGAAAAAGTAAGGAAAGGGCTTTGAGAGAAAATAGAGAGTAAGTGCCAAAGTGAAGTGGGAAATCATAAATGAGAAAGGATGGGAAACAATACCTGGAGAAGCAGTGAACTCCCTGCAAACTGAGAAGTCTCTTGCCTATGGAAAGTATCCAAACCCATTAAGGTTTCGGCCAGTGCCAAGCCTATATGGCTCTGACCCTCCTTAGGGCTGAACCACTTCAATCAGTCGGATGCTAACTTCGCTACCACTAGGGGAAAGAAGATAATGGGCGAGCAAGCATATGCAAGGGGCATCTTGGCAATGACCTCGCCAAATAAGATCACTCCTATTTCCGATATTGGCAAAACAGTGAATTAGGCCAAGAATGTTCAACTCTTCATCATGAACAAAAGATTTAGCCTTGTTGAAAGAGAGACCACACATTCGTTTAAGAGCTCGTGCATGGCCAAAAAGTTACTGAGGCATAATTTCTTCGTTGCGCCGAGACTCCATTAACACTTGAAACTTCTCAAGAGTGGGACACATGTCTTGTGATCCAAAGCGAAACACATGAGGAACCAGGTCCCAATAATGGGCAGCAATATGGAGGAACGGAAAACAAACTGAAGTGCGACTCAAAGTAAAAGGAGCGTTTATGCTGAAACCATTGAAATTTACCTTTCCCATGCTGTCCAAAGTGGCCGTCCAATCTTTGAGCTTTTCCACAAGGAAAATCTCCATTTTCAGAGAAAACTGAAGAAAAGATGAGGTTTTGTCAAAGAAATAGCAAGAGAAGACCTTTATTGAAGATAAGGTTGTGTGAGTGGTTGATAGCTGATTTGTATTGACATGGATAGAGAGGTCTATACAATATAATTTGATAATATGTTAATGTTTTTGGGGTGATTCGACAGAGAAGCCAAACTTTTCCAAACAACAACAAATCAAGCAATTGTGGTCTGAACGTTCTATGCCTTGACAGATTCAAGGACTTCTTTGAAGGCTGTAATGCGAAGAAACAAGAAGGAATAAACTGAAAATCAATTGTTGAACAAACAAACTTGGAATTTAATCAGTAAGATTAAATTTCCAGTTCAATGTACATGACAATCGACAGAGCTTTTCTAATGGATGGCCCTGAACTATAGATAGACTACTCATAAGTAAGAACTAACAAAGTTAAGTTACTCTTACTGCTATAAGGGTTGTAAATTTGTTTGAAGATCTTTTCTAACTTTGAATTCCCAGCTTTTATATTGCTGGTCTTCAAACTCCACTGCTGCGCCGCTGCCACGTGTCCCATCATATAGCCAGCTACTTTCACTTCAATGCCCATGATCTTTGCAACTGCCAGTAACTACTTCTCTGTTGCAGCTTTTCTCCTTCTAGGAAACATGACGCGTATCATGTATGCCTTACATGCTAACTTTATGGCTTGACGCCTGGGCCATGTTTGGCCACGTTCCACTTCATTACTAGATGAATTGACAGGAAACCTGCAACTGCCACGTCTATCTCTTTGACTATTTCACTGTTACTTAGAAAAGTATATATGTTTATTGTCCAAATATCAACATTGTTGTTAATTATTGTTACTTTGGAAATTGATAGTTTGTCTATTTGGTTACTATCTTTATTAAGAATGGCTGATAAGAAATATCTAAAAAAGAAAAAAGGCAAGATGGTGATATTACATCTTTATTAAAAATGGTTGATAAGAAATATCTAAAAAAGAAAAAAGGTAATATGGTGATCTTACATAGGAACCTTTGTTAACTTCTTACCTATTAAACTACGTGATTATTATTCAAAATAATATTTTTATTGATTTAAGTCTAAATATTTTATATTCATAAGATATATTTAACATCTAAATGTATAGATATATGTTTTTAAGTAATTTAGAAAAAGTGACTGAATCTTTACGATTCACGATTCGATTCGATTCGCGATTCGGTACAAGACCATTTCGATTTACGATACGAATCCCGATTTGACAACTATGATTGCATCCAGAAAGGGAAAAAAAAAAAGAAAAAAAAGAAGAAGAAGAAGAAGAAGACACAATTTCAGTTTGCAGTGTACATCAGAATCAGAAGATATACCTTCCTAACCAATGCCTCTCTAAGCTCAGGAAGACCTTCATCAGCACCATAACGACTAACTGAAGGTTCCCACACAAGTTCTTTTACCTTATCCAACGCTGGCTTCGGTGGTTGCCAATACACTACTCCCTACATGAGAATATGATCAGAGAATGAGATACTGTTAAGACAGTGCCATAGAAGTTTTGCAAGTAATACTCAATTGCAATAAAGTGTTTACGGCTTCAATCAGTAATACTAGTCACAGACTCCCATGATACTTGTCAAAGTATTTCCAACTACAAGATACCGATATAAGCTTACGAACTTACGAGTCATTATGGTTGAAAATCTTCTCAATATGAAGCCTACATTAACCATGTCAAGAAGCATAAAAAATCTTCATTCTAGGGCTTGAAAACCTTTATTTTAGATTTGTAGCCCACAACATGAAGGTAGTGCATTGTACAGAGGTTCTAAAATGCCTAAACAGAAATGATGGAGCAAAACTGAGCTTCCCACCGGAACCTCATGCAATCAAGTTATTATCCCAGCCAAAACTTTTTTTTTTCTTCTTGGAAAAGTATACCCTGAATTTTTAATTATAGCCATTAACAGAGCAAGGGCTTTTCCAAGGATTACTACAAGAAATGTATCAAAATTGCCCACTTAAGAACAATCTGCAATATAAGAATGTTGTCAAGATGGATAAAAGTCATCCACAACATATAATTCATGACAAATTGACCACTTATGGCCTTAATTGTACAAGCCCACCATGCAGACTTCAGAGCACCAAAAGAGAACTTCATCACATGCCAAGAAAAAATTTCTACAGCAGTAAGAATTAATCAAAATCCTTAACAGGTTGGGATTCTGTAATGTGTTGAAAGGCAAAGCAGTATTTGACAATTTTTAAAATACTACTAGTAAACGCCGACTCTAAACCAAATGTTAATGTGCTAAAAAATTAAACAAATAAATGCCACCAATTGCTCACTTTTCATAATAGTAAACATTATAAGCCTTCGTTTGGCATGCCAAAAAGCTTGGCTTTTTGGCTATTTTAGCCACAAAAAGACAAAATAGGTTAAAAAGCCAATAAGACAAAATGTCACATTCAAACCATAATCATTTCATTATTTCTCGCACAAAAGTCAAAAAAGCCAAAAAGTCTATCCCAAACGAGACTTTTTAGCCCTAAGCTAAAATAGCCAAAAAGTCAACCCACATCCCAAACGAACCCTAAGTATGATGCAATTAGGCCAATACAGAAAAAAATTAGCAGTTACAGAATAGCACGCTGCATGAACTTTGGCAAGGATGATCTATGGGTCTGAAACAATACACCATGTTAACCTTTACATGCATAAGGAAGTTTCAATCGAAACATCAATGACTCAACATAAAAGTGATATCTTAAAATACAAAAAAGAAGAAGAGCGAGAGAGTTATTAAAAAAAACAAAAAAACAAAAAAATTTAGCACCATGTCATGCTAGCAATCAAGATAAGATGAAATTTCTTAATTATTATGTACAAACCACGGTGACACCGATTTGCAGAACTAGCTGTTGTATGATTAACCAATGAATGACTTATCAAAAAAATGATAAGCCAATTTTTAAAGACTATTTTTTTATGTGTAATTAAGATGGTTTGAACCTCTAGAATTAACCAAGAGGACGGGAAAGCCACTGATAATGCGCCCCCTTTCCCTGGAAATGACTTGGATTTTGTCGGTGGAGCAAGAACATATAAATAACATTATACTTTCAGGCCCACAAACAAGGTTTATAATATAACTCACCACTCCCATTTCCCAACCACCTTTACAAAGTACCTCATTTGACGTTAAAACAATAACACATGTTCTCAACTCATTGTAAACTCATATCTCAACACAGTCTTTATGTTCCCCAAACCAATTTGCCGGTGATAAACTTTAGGTAGAAGCAACAAGGCTATAAACAAATAAATAAATAAATAAGTTAAATAAGTTGGAGTTCAATTAGATTTTAATCAGGAACGTGTAATTGGTTGTTAATGATCATCAAAAAATTGAGATTTTCGAGGCCATGATTTCAGCAATCCCAACATGTTCTTGTGGGAGATGAATTGGTGAATTACAAATTTGAGACCTAAAAGGGACAAAACAAAAACTTTTCACATCTCTCAATTTCTCACATACCAAAAACTAAAATTAGTAAGTAAATTTTGACAAACATTGGAGAGAGTAAACAAACCTGAGCTAGAGAAAGTGCGTCCTTGGCACCTCGGATCACTTCCTGTATCTGCAAAACACAAAACACCATCACACATTTCTCAGGAAACAAACACAACCAAATGAGGGGGAAAAAAAAGAGTAGATGAAAATGAAAATGGATTAGAACCCAGTTTAGGGTTTTGGATGAAAATTTACCAGAACCATGATGGGTGTCTCAGTCTGCACAGCCCTCCTCGCTAGCGTCCCATGCGAACCCATCTCTCACCTCCACTCTATCTCTCTCTAGATGAGAAAAAAGGGTTCTCTGAAACTCCAAAAGAATTTCTTTTCTTTTTTTTTCCTTTTTTTTTGGGGTCGGTAAAGCAGAGAAATGGGTCTTCTTTTTCAGCAAAGATTGCAAATTTTATAGTCAAAATGCTATCAAATTAGCTGAATTTCCTTGTAAGAGACTCAACAATGATAACTATAACCGGAAAAAAACAAAAACGCTTTTCGCATATCTCTGCGGATTGCTTTTTTTTATGCGTTACTTGACTTTTGTGAACAGGATAATTTCACTATTTATTATATAGATTATATAGATAGAGAGACAGAAAAAAACTCTCTCCCTCTCTCTCTCTCACTAGAACTAACCAAACCAACCACCTCAATAGATCGAGTTAATTAATTGCTTTCTCTACTCTGACCGTCTCTCTCTTTCTACCTAACACAATAACGTGAAGACTCAAATCTCTCTCTCTCTCTCTCTCTCTCTAATAGTGATGCAAGAAAGAGAGTAGCAGATTTTATAAATATTTGGTGGGTAATTATATGCATCATCAGCGGGAATCTCCGAGGATTCCGGTGCCAATAATGAACCAGATTTCTCAAGGAAATCAGAAATTACAGAGGCAGTGTTAACTATTAAAAACCACCCAGTGAATTTTCTCTGGAAATTGAGAGGACAAAGAATCTGGGTTATGTGATGGGAATTCTGATATCATTTCATTATTCGACAAGTGTTTTGGAGGATTTTGATTTGCAATAAAATCAGAGCCACACAACAGAGAAGTACATTAGGGATTTCCTTGGTGTTTTGTGGGACAAGAATAGATTCCCCGCCGCGGTCTGTCTCGTCTCATCTCTTATCTCTCTCTCTCTCTCTAAGATTTGACTGCCGCCGATCACAGACAACTTGAAAAAAAAAAAAAAAAAAAAAAAAACCAACAACAACAACCAATAGAAAGGCAAGTTAAGGAATCCATCTTAAAAAATTAAAAAATAATAATAATATATGAAGAATAAGTTTTAAAAAAATTAATCACAAATATAAGGGGTAATTATTGAAAAATTCAGGTTAAGGATAGTATGGTTATGTTTGACGCAAAGGTTTGGGTTATTTTAGTTATAAAAACATAAAATAAACTTTTTCGTCTAATAAGATAAAATGTCATATTCAAATTATAATCATTTTATTTTTTCTCTTACACAAGTTAAGAAAGTCAAAAAGTCTATCTCAAACGAGACTTTTTAGTCCCAGATTAAAATAATAAAAAAAAATTAAAAAGTCAACCCACATCCTAAACGAAAGCTATAAAATATTGAGTTTAGTAGATAGTTTTTATTAGTAATAGGCCTACTACCGTACCAATCATGTACCAGTGTACGTCAGCGATGCGAACTTTACCTGAAGAGTTATGGTAATGAACTTGACCACGATCGTCGATTTGGACTCTGATCTCCATCGCTATCATGGGGATTGAAGAAAGAGGAGAGAGAGACAGAGAGTCGACTGACCATAGCGAAAGAAGGGCGACAAGTGAGATGAAGACGAAGGCATGGATGAGAGGTGGACGGCGACGATTGGCGGAAAGTTGAGAGCGAAGAGTAGAGAGAGAGAGGTGTAGGATTTAGTTTGGTTTGTGTATATAGCATGTATATAGGTATTTTGATCATTTTATTTAAGTGTGCCCTTATGGACAGAATATTTGAGTGCACTTTTGGCCAAACAAAATTTGAAATTAGATTTATGAGCTGAATACACCAATATAAATCATGTATCATATCAATTTTTAATATGTAATACAATTTTAAACCAATGTATATATTTAATTATTTGTGGCATATTGATAAAGGAGAAAAGGAACTAAACAATAGATTTTTTAAGTAATTAAAAATTAAAAATTCCAATTTGAAAATTTGATGCTTTCAAAACTCACTGTTTAAATTTTTTTTATTTATTTAAAAATCAACAAATTTAGTTCAAAATTTGGAGCTCCTATAACTCTTCTTCTAAGAGATTTCTGCATATACCTTATAATTTTGGTTTTTATTTAATTAAAGAATGTACAAATACAATCATAATTACACAAAATTCAAAACTTTTTTTAACAATATCCAAATAAATGTTTAAATATAAAGATAGCTATAAATAAAAGATTAAAAACAATATCAAATTCATACGCATAAAGAATCAATTTTGCACATTAATTCTAATTTTCAGTTTTCTGTACTTTTTCTATTTGATTCTTTTCTTACTTTTTACATAACCCTCAACTTCATTCTTGTGATGATAACTACAACAATGCCATTGCTCTTTTTTTAGTCCAAAATCTTTGAAAAAGAAAATACTATGAAATAGAGAAATGATTGAATGATCTTTAAAGAGTGATTCAATATTAACACAAAATAAAAATATAACACACAATTGAAAAGTGTCAAAGAAGAAAACAAATAAATAAATCAACTTTTAACTTATCTATGGATTAATTAATGAAATTAAAAGTAAAAGACAATAAAATTTTTAGAATTTTAGTGACATATTATGTCACAATAAGTAAATTATAGATGAACAAGTTTTGAGTTTAGATTTGTTTTGACAAAATATAGAGAAGTATTCATGTTGTTGTAACAGAAAGCATGCACAAGGTTTGTGAGTTTTTCCCCCACCCATTTTAGTTTCATTTTAGTGAGAATAATACAATTATTTATGGAGACAAAAGAACAACGTGAGAGAAGGTTTTTTATATTTTTTTTATAAGAGAGATAAGGATAACTATAAGGGATTTTTATCATTTTATTTTTTATTCTTTTTATCTCTTGGTTATTATTTTTATTTTTTGAAGTTTTTTAGCAAAGAGATAAGAATTATTTTTTTTCTTTTTAAATTTTTTTTTATCTCTTGATTATTATTATTATTTAATTTTGCTTTAGAAAGAGATAACAAATAACTATGTGGGATTTTACCCTTTTATTTTTTGCTTCTTCATTTTTTCTTTTTATTTCTTGGTTATATTTTTTTCTTTTTAGAGGTGAAAAGATAGAATGGTTGTTTTTATTATATTAAAAATTTAAAAATTAGAAAAATGAGGTGGAGAGACTCCAAGAAGTGTCATGTAGGAGAGAGAGCCCCTAAAATTTAATATTGGACTTTTGGAGAATTTTAAGAACACACTATATTTGGTTATATATATAATATATAAATGAATTACAAATGTATTTTTAAAAATAGGGCATTTATTTTTTTTAATAATAAACGTGATAAATTAAATAAGTTACGATTATCAAATTGTGGATCATATACACACAAAAAAATCCTACAAAATAAACATTTGAATTATCAACACAGAACTTGTGTAAACCCCATAAACCCAAATAGTCCTTATTTTAATAATTGTTTGGTTTGATTTTTAAAAAATTATTTATAGGTGAGTTTTTGTTTGTCTTTAATGAATTTTTTATTAAGTTTTTATTTACATTTAGATGCATCTAAAAAATACTAAAATATGAAGAAAAAAATTATATATGTTAAAACATTAATTTTTAGTGAACTTTTTTTTGTCAACTTTTTAGATGCATTTAGATTTAGATTATGTGTATCTAAAAAAGTAAAATAATTGACTGAAATATGACATTTAAAATATTTTTTGAAAAATTAAATCAAGCATTTGCAAACAAAAACTTCATATAAAAAAATCATCATGACTAATGTAACAGTGACATTTTAAAAATTATACGATTTTTCGTGTACTTTTTTATTTGAAATGAGTAGATATTGAGTTCGCATGTCATTTCGTATGAATTCTTTCTACAAATTTTCTTGTTATATACAATACGCTTTTTTTATACAAGTAAATAACAAATATGCTCAATATATTCTGAGCAATGCTAGAGACCCAAAATATTTTACTAAAAATTTTACCAAATGTCTCACATGGGTGTGGGACCCACACAATGTGGGACCCATGTGGATCTCACACCCATGTGAGACATTTGATAGGACTTTTGGTAGAATTTTTGGAGTCTCTCGCATTTTTTGATATATTCCGCTTCTCAAAGATACATTTCACTCAAGAGGTTTCAACTCAATTGTTGGGTCAACTACCAGAATTAAATGATGCACAAATATTAAGAAATTTTAAAAAATGATGCACAAATATTAAGAAACTTATAAAAAATATTCTATTATATAAGGTTTGCATTCTTTTAAGTTGGTCAGTTATTAATAGACTCATTTTGTGATTGACCTTAATTTGAATTTATTCAATAAAATATTTATGTAAAAAAATTAAGTAGATCGTATGTTGGTAGTTATTAATTTGAAATACATTTGTCTCAAAAAAATAAAAAATAAATATAATTTTCAAGAATAATAATTTATTTGTTGTAATACAAATGTGATAGCGAAATCAGTTACAAAATGGGCTCACTAAACTCAAATTGTTCTATCGAACTGGATGACCAACTTAAAATAATCCAAACCTATAATAAAAATATATGATTTTTTTAAGAATGTATTTGGGATTGACTTTTTTTTAAGTAATTTTTTAGTTTTTATTTTTTGTATAAATTAAAAAGGTAGTAACGTGTTTGAAAAGTTGCTAATTTTTTTTTTATTTTTAATGATTTACTCTCTGATTTTTGAGAAAATTAAAATAATAAATTTTGAGTTTTTAATTTTGTCATTTTAAATTCTAATCTTTTAATTTATTTTCAATCTAAATTATTAGTCTATTTTTGTTAAATAAAATCGACGTAAAAGGATATTTTAGTCATTAAACTCAATGTAATTGTACATAAATTATCTAAAATATAATTTTTCATTAACGTTTAATGATTAAAATACATTTTTTCTTAACAATTTTTCTTAATGAAAATATGCAAATGTTTAAGAATAAATATAAGGGTGAAATATCAATAAATTTCAAATAGTGATCTTATGAACTGTTTGGTCATCCATTTTTTCTTATGGACCCAAAGGTCTCATTCTAGTGTAAATTATATAAAGAGCCAGGTATAAATGTGCATGTTTACGTGTTGAGGGACAAATGTAAATTTTCTTATAATGTTGATACTAGCATATCACACGTGTTATGTACGGAATTAAACAATAATTGATATATTTATTTTAAAATTAACTAAAAATAATTTTTAAAAAACAAAAAAATAAATAATATTAAGTAAGTTTTAACCCTTTTTTTTCTTATAACAAAAAGAGTGTTTGAAATTGACTTTTTAAGTAGGAATGGCAACGGGGTAGGGCGGGGCGGGGCGCTGGGGACCACACTCCCAAATTTTCACATCCCTAGCCCCGATCCTCGACGGGGAAGCCATCATCACCCCCATCCCCGTCCCCTAACGGGGATCGGGTTTCCCCGACCCTAAAAATTCCCCGATCCAAAAAAATAAAAAAAATTTGGCAAATCAACAACATCATCAACCGATCAACAACATCATACATCGACAATAGATGATCTGTTACAGATCATGTATAAACACAACAGATCAACAAAATCATTATACACGCGTCGCCGTGATGTTCTTGAGCAAGGAGATCGGCGACGGCAAGATAGGAAAGATTGGCGAGATCTAGGAGGAGGGAAATGATAGCGGAAGAACCGCCGCCACTACCATCGGCAAGATCGAAGATTGGCGCGATGGGAGGAGGAAGAGGATGTCAAAGAAGCTGTTGCAACCACCATCGGTGAGATCGGAGATCGGCAAGATGGGATCGGTGAGATCGGAGATCGGCGAGATGGGATCGGTGAGATCAGAGATCGGCGAGATGGAAGGAAGGAGATGACAGCGGA